GGAAGGCAGCCCTGCTGCCCACCCAGAGCTGCAGCCTCAGCTGCCCAACTACGAAAGGGGAATCTCTCACCTGGGCTTGCTGAAGGAGCAGATTCAGAGCCTGAGGAATGAGGCCCAATCCAAGGACGTGAAAATTGTGGCTCTGCAGAAGGACCTGGACGAAGCCCAGCGTCAGCTCTCGGAGCAAGAGATGGCAGGGAGGAACCTCCTTAGCCAGCTCCAGAAGGAGCAGCAGGACGGCCAAGCCCTGGTTGAACAGGCGCGGGAGGCTTCCGCGAAGGCCAAGGAGCAGTCCCAGGCCCTGGCCTTGAAGGAGCTGGAAGTCGCCAAGCTGGCGACACTCCTCTCGGAGAACTCCCTGGAGGTGGAGAGGCTCCAGCAGGAAGTGGCGGAGCGGGAGCGGAGGATGGCCGAAGTCAGCGTGGGCATGTCCGACCGGATGGTGCAACTCAACGAGGAGAAGTTCGTGCTGGGGAAGGAGCTGAAGAGCGTGATGGAGCAGCTGAGCGTCCTGCAGCAAGGGAAGGAGACCAGAGGGCAGGCCGTGGAGACGGAGGAGAGATGGCCGCCGACGGAGGAGTGGCCCACCGACCAAGCCGTGGAAGTTCTAAGGAAGGAGAACGAACTCCTGAGGAAGAAGCTGCAGGCTGCTCTCCTCAGCAGGAAGGAGCTCCTCGCCAGGGTTCGCCAGCTGGAGCAGGAAGGAAAAGGGGAGGAAAAGCTTCCCGCCGAGAGCCAGGAGGGGATGGCTCAAGAGAACGAAGGAGGCGGGCCTCCCTCCGTGAGCCATAGTGGCCAAGGGCATCCTGTAAGGCGGGGCAGGGCTGCCTCACTGAACCAGCTGCTCTCCGCCAAGGAAGCCGCGTCGCAGGTCAGCCTCGAGGAAGAAGAACGCACGTGGCTGCGGACCATGATTGCCGAGTTGCAGCAGCATCTGCAGGAGAAGGACCTTCAGATCAACGCTCTGCAGGCTGAACTCAAAGACCGCCAGTTGTCCCCCGAGAAACAGAGTCCGGTGGATCAGAATGTGGAGGGGTCCAGCTCAGCAGATTCCAGGGAAGGTGGAACAAGCAGCAAAGCTAACCTTGGCCCAGAAGGAGAAAATAAGACCACCCAAGAAGAGTTTTCGGCACTGGTCCAGGAGAGAGAAGAGCTCCAGAAGAAGCTCCAGGAAGCTCTGGTCTCGCGCAAGGAGACCATCAAGAAAGCCAAGGAGAAGGATCGTCATTATCGCGAACTGCTAAAGCAGCAGAAGGAGGACTACAACTTGCTACAAGAGCAACTTGAGCAGCAGAGCTGGGAGAAGGAGAACCTGCAGGACCAACTCCAGACTCTGTCCAAGGTT